ATCATTTTAGTCCTTCATTTGACTGGTAAGAGTCTTGGAAGAGATGGGTATCCTCATTTTCTAGGTTAAGAAACTGAGCTAGGAGGAAGTAGAGCAGCAAGAGGCAAACCTACATCTGATTTCAAGTTGAATATTTGTATCATTTGGGCAAAAGTTACAATCCTTACAGCCAAATCTAACACTGGATTTATAATCATCATCTTATTGACTTGCTTTTGGTGCATGGTTTTACTGACAACTGCTTTTTTCTTGAATTTTTTTTCTTTGACTTATGACAACTCTTGCCCAGTTCTCCAACTAGCTATCAAACTATTTCTTCTCAATTTGCCTTTGGAAGACATTTTCTTCTTCTCTTTCTTAAATGTCATCGTCTCTCAGGATTCTGTCCTTTCTTTTCGATCTTGCACTACACATTTTCTCAGGCAATTTCAGAGATACTTTCATGGCTTCAAGAAACAACTCTACACTGGTAATTTCCAAATTCATGGGTCCAGACATTATTGAGCCTCTGGTTCATATTTTTTAACTGGATATTATGGCAGCCACATCAAGTTCACCGTATCCAAGTATAAAATCTATGCCCATAAAATTTATGTTGTCTCTTGTCTCAAATATCAGAATGTATCTCCTGATACAGAATGTATCTCCTGATCTGACTTATCAGAATGCATTTTCCTAATCTGACTTATCTTCTGGAAACCACAACTACGAAGAATGTAGGAGTCCTTGTCTACAGGGCAAGATCAGAGTATCTGAGATAGGAGGGAGGGAGAATTGAAATGTACCGAAGACCTGGAGGAACAGGGACGTGTTGCAGATGTTCATACAGCTGGTGGGTCAATATCGGTGACGTCAGTCAGCCCAATTTATAAACAAGAGACATAAAGCTTATGAAGACTGTTTAAATTGTATGCATATTTTAAAGGGAAAACAGTCACTACTGTGATGATTTTCCATTCACTCACTATAGTCCAGTCATAGTGAACCTCTTAATTTTTTAAGTGACTTTTAAAACCCATCTCTGAGATTTCACACATGCTCTCCTTTCCACTCGAAATATTCTTTCCCAACCCTGCCATCTTTGCTGGACAATTTCCTAATCATTTTCAACATCTGGTTCAAAAACCACTTTCTCAGGGATACCTTCCATAACCAATGAAAAGCCCACTCATTTTTCTGACTTGCACCCTGTGATTTTTCCATTATAACATTTACCACACTTTCCAATTATATATTAATTTATGTTTTATTGTTTAATGCACATATCACCTACTGGGTTGTAAGCTCAATAACAACAAGTATAATGTTTTTTTTAAATAAAAACAACTTTTATAAAACTACTGCTTAGCATACTATCATTCGCAGGGTCAATTATCAATAAATGTGTTAAATAAATGAATGCTTTGGTAGTCTACATTTATAGTGTAGCTCCCAGCCACATAAGCCTGTTTAAATTAACACTAATCAACATTAAAATTAATTTCCTCAGTCATACTAGTCATATGCCAATACTACCAGCCGCATGGCTACCGTGTTGGAGAGTACAGATACATTGGTAGAACATTCCCATCATCACAGAAAGTTCTATAGGACAGCAGTAGTCTACAATAAACAATAAAAGAGTGGCAATAAATTAAGGACCTTTAGAAATCTACATGTAGATTCTATCTCAGAAATATCTCTTGAACTCGCCCACATATCTTCATTCCTGCTGTCTTTAGGAGACACCCTAACATGTCTCCTGGGCACAAATATTTCTCAGCCCATATACATTCCTCAAGTTATTGTTAAACATGTACTACTTATCAAGTCACTTCTCTGCTTAACACATTTATAACTTCTCATTGCCTAAAGCATAGAATTTAAATTCCTAACACAGAAAAAAGACTTCTTATCTTCCAATTTACCACCTCAATCTCAAATGACATTGCTCTCTTTTTACAACCCCCGAGTTCCACTTACAAGATTTCACTTTTTTTGGAAACAAAATGTACTGTGAGACAATGCTTCCTAAAATACCTACTGCCTCCTGCTAGGACCCAGTTTCTTAGCATTGCTGAATGCATGTGGAGTTCTCAGCTCTGACCTTTATCACCTTGCACTGGGATTATCCTTTTATACCTCTATTACTCTCTCTGTACTATGAGGTTTTAAAGAAAAGGGATAATAGCTCACTTATTTCCCAGTGCCTAGTGTACTACATTTTGCATAGAACTTACATTTTATTGTTATTATTGAAATAACAAAATAGTGAATAAAGGGGTTACAAAATTTAAAAATATTCCCCTTATTCCATAAATAACTCATTAGTCATTCTTGTATAATTTCAACCTACTTCCAAAACTCCCTCCCCACCAATCACTATACAATACTCAAGTCTGAAAATAATATGTATGAAAAGTCAATGAAACAACTTTTGCTTGAGTTCAGGGGCTGAAGAGGCAGGGAGCTCTTAAATTGTAAATAGTTTTTCCCTGGGCTGAAATTATCAGTTAGAAATTAACACAAATCAACAGCAATTACAGCAAAAACAACAAAACCTGCATATTTCCAAATAAGTAGGTTCTTTGGAAAATTCCTGGTGGAAAAATAATATAAAGGACTCCCATGTTAGTGAAAAGCTTTGTAAACTCTGTGAAATATACACAGTTACCTCTTAATTCTCTCTAACATGATCTCTTCCTTCTTGGCTCTTTCCTTATATCTCTCAAAATCAATTTTGTTTCATAGCAGAGAAGCATTCTGTTATTATTTGTTGAAAACAGAAAAACACACTCCTATAATGATCCATTGGGAGTAAAAAATGAAACAGCAGAGAGGAAGATATTACAAATAATGTCAGAATAACATTTTTATGTGAAAAAATATGTAACAGCAACAATGATGATGCTGAGTAGCTGTTTCTTAAACTTTTTGGGTTTTGGCAGAACGTGACAATTTTAAAATAAAATTTTAATCTTGCCAGTGAAGTCTGCACTTAGAAATGCTCACTTTTTGCCACATGTTAATTCTAAATTACTAAATAAGGTTAAAGACATGAGCAGAGTGTGTTCCAATCGAGGAATTACAAAGAAAACATTTAGAACCAAATATTGTAAACATTTGACCAATGAATCACATGTGTAATGGGAAATTCTAAGAGGTGCTGTTCACTTAAAACAGTGATTGAGTAGAGATACACCAAAGTGAGAACCTCTATTGTATTATTTTTTTAAAGAAAACTATCCATCACGCGTCCTTATTTGATCTCACAATTTGTTAGCTTTTTATCCAAAAACAATAGCATGACAAAAATCTTGCTGTGTGGCCTCGGAAGCTTTGTGGTGAGAAGACTCTAGTAATAGAATTCTCTCTGCCTTTTCAAACTCCTACAGGAGTTTGTTCACAATTTAAATAAAGTATCCATTGGCTGGTACTTAAAGTCTACCTTATATTCTTAACACAAAATTTTATAAATGGGGTAACTCAATTTCTTTTTAAAATATTTCTCCACCTCTAAGATTAACTTTCAGTATATTGATAGTAGGGTAAAAACATTGCTCACCATTATAAATGAATTTTTATCACTTAATTGGATTAAACCTCTCAAGAAATAAGTATTGCAGTGGTTCACAAAACACACAGTTATCAAACAAGTTCATCAGAAAGTGACCCTTGAAATCTCTTATGACATATTTAACACAGCTCACTTATACAAATGATGTCCATCTCCAGCACAGCCTTTCAGGCTGGGGGCACTGCTGTTACAGGGCATACTTCAGTACACCAACACACTAGCAGTGGCCACTCATCAAGGCAAGCGGTTTTAAGACAATTACTGTGAAGTCTTAGACTCTGGAAGAATGAGGATGCTTTTTAGAGAACCTGTCCCCTGCGGGTGAAGGGATCAGTAGGAGATAGCATTACTGGCTAGGACTCCAGGTAAAGAACCTTCTGTGCTCACAAGCTGGCCTCACTCAGATGTCCTGTTTTCATTAGCACTTGAAGTGCAGTGATGGTTTGCATTACTGTCCCTGGAAGTGTTCAAAAGCCTGACGGCTCAGACTGACACAAAGAAGTGATAGGCTCAGATGGAAGAAAACGAAAAGTTTATATAAGACCAAAGCAAGCTTCCCACTGAGAATATTTATTAGTTTAACAGCTCTTCCTCTTAATAAATGAATATATGCTTAAGGTGTCTGTCTATTTAAGAAATGTTATTTTAGTGAAGATAAATCCAACTAAAAAAATAATATACTAAAGTCAAAAGTAGATCCAGTAGCATTCTTATTCTACAAAGCTTGTTTTCATTCAAATGAGAGTTTGAGGGCACAAAACAGAAGTGACTCAGAGTTTCTGTATTTTCCTGTAAAGTACATAAAAAAGCACTATTAAAGAACTAATTGTAATGATCTTCAAAATGATTGTTGCACTTTGGTTTATTTGTTTTTTCCTCTTTATTTCATTTTCTTCTTTATCCCTGAATAAATTCAAAACCTAACCTAGATTAATGTTATAAACGTATTCATTATAGTAATGCTATAACTATATTTTCAACTTATTTGGTTCAGGTAAAGATATATAGTTTTAGATATGTTATGAGATCTGTGTTTTGATAAAGATACAAGATATTTTTAGAGTGTGAATTACTCTAGGGACTACATTAAATTGATTTCAATTTAAAAATAAGATTATTAAATGTATAAGAACATTTTAAACTCCATTAGTTAGGAGTTTAATGCAGCGATTTTTCTGGAATATCCCTTTTTGGTGAGTCCCAAAGAGGGGTGCCTGAGAAACTCAAACCCAGGCAACAGATAAGGCATGGAAAAGTAAACTGTGATGCTGGAAAAATTAATTTTTTTTCCTTTTTCCATTTAGATCTCAAGTATTATACATATAAAATAGTATGAATATATCCTACCACTTATAATTAGTGGGCATTCATGTTTACTTCCACATTCCATGGGAAATTGTTTATACACATACATGTATGTTTAAGTAAAATAAATATATCTTACCTTACAGACTCTTCCAACTCGAGAAAGAATAGTCTTATCGGAAGTACTGCCTTCTTGAGATGATTCACGGAAGAAGAAATATATTTTATCATCATCTGGATTATAGGTGTCTGGTATGGGGAAAGTTCCAATAAATTTTGCTCCTGTTTGAAAGAAAAGAAGCTTTAAATTAACATACTGAAATAAATTAGCCACACTATTACTGACATCTTTTGTATGTTAAACAAGTAGCAGAATTTTTTGAAATAATGAACTAAAAGTGGAATGTGGAAAATGAGACACATACAAAAAATAAATACGACACATGCAGCAGCACGTGTGTGCATGAAGACCCCTCGGACAAGTTTCTGGGAGCTCTAGAGAGCAGGGGAGAACACGGCTGAATGATAGTCACAATTTTTGCTCCTTGACTAAATTACTTATAAAGCCCTTTCAAGCCTGCAGATTCTGTGATTTATAGTCCCCTTTTACATGATGGAGCCACTGCGTTTTAACTGCAACATCTATCACAAAAAGTTTAGGAAAAACTATAAACATATCCTCAATTTTGTTATATTATGAAATTATTTGTTGTATTTGTGTCATTGCCAAAGGGCAGGGGGATGAAAACAAAACAAAACAAAAACAAAAAATGAACAGTGCATGGGTTAACTCTAGTGTAGGCTCTGGAGGCATTCTCTCTAGGTTTACATCATGTCTCTGCCACTTACTGGAAAGGTGTCCTTAAGCAAATTATTTATTTTCTCCATGCCTCAATTTTCTCATACCTAACATAAGGCTATGGATATCATTTACCAACTTGGGTAACTGGTATCATGAATTAATATAGATGAAGCACTTAGTATCTGACAGTGACTGACACATGAGAGTTCAGCAAATGTTGTTTTTTATTAAAATGATGATTACAATCATTTTATTATGACCACAAGAAAATGATAAAAAACTGTGCACATCCATACAATTGCTGGAATAACATGCAGTTGTTAAAAATGAAATACTTCTAAAATGCGCTTCCATGGAAAGATGTCCATAATACGGGTTAGGTGAAAAAATATTGGTGATACTTTAAACCCTTTGCATTGCATCAGTGAGAAGTCATGAGTTACTCACTCCTTGTTTAAAAGGCACTGGGCATTTTAAGTCCTGATGGTATATAATTGTGAATTAACCAGGTAACAGACCTGTGAAACTAATTGGGTAAAACCAGTTCAGAAATACTTCTTTTGATTAAAGCAAAGACAAAGAGAGTAGCTAAGAAATAAAGAAAGGACTTCAGCTCAGTAGAAAACAGAGACGCCTGGAAAGAAGCAAAGCACACTGTTCAGGGAATAGAAGCAGGAAACAAGACAACTCTCCCCCCACCAACACACCACCCCCACTCCCCACAAAATAGGAAGAAATGAGAGATGAAAAAGATCAACACTGTCTTCTCTAGAGATTTACCCACATCCCCGATTGCTGGTACCCCAGGAGACTAAACATCATTCCCTCAAATGCAGAGCAGTCGGTCTAGAGCCTAGTAAACATGACTTCACAGTAGCCTTCAACAGAGAAAAGTCAGTGTTTGCTTCCCAGGATGAGTAGTTCAGTCTTTATCGTCCAGTTCTCTGCGGCAGCCCTGGTCTCCTGTGCAATTTTTTCTCTGCTTAAATGAGAAGTGTTGACAGGAAAAGGAAGATGGGGTATATGGACACAAGCTTTCTCTGCTTTGTTTTCTATTACTTCCATGTTGTATCCTGGAATTTAAAGCTCCACTGGATTTGTATGCTCCTGTAATCTCACTTTGACACAATCCTAGATTGCATAAAAGGTAAATTTTAGAAAACCATGAAAAATGTTTTAAATTCTCTTTTCTAATTGATCTTAAATTAGCAAGGTTGAGTAATAATTCTCATTTTTTATTTAAGTATATTATCTTTTCTTAAAAAAACTCTTTGTGGAAATAAATTTTCCTACAAATGTGGTATCAGGATTTTAGCAAATTTGTGAAAATAAAGACTACATTTAATTAGTATTATAATCAGGGCATTGGAAAAGGAAAACTGGTAGGATTAGAAATATAAAAATTAATAAAACTGACTCTTCACTTGAAACCAATTACAATCTAAATGAAAGAAATATTCACATATGGCCAACATATATGGCTAAGGAGGCCTCGTGTTAATGTTTCCAATGACTAAAAGAAGGTTATAACAGTAGGCAGACACAAAGACAACCAACAGTGGGCTCCCACACACACAGGCCGGACATTAATAACAGTCTACAGAACTTTGTGAATTTACAGATGCCTCAACTCAATGTCACTGACTTGGTTGAAAGTCTCCGGTTGCACTGGCATGTACATATTTTAAAACATAGAGATATGAAAAGAAATAAAACCTTATAGGTGATTCTTATAAGCATCTAGGATTAAAAGTCACTGACATAGATTACCATTTCCTACATATAATGGGGACCCTAAATGCAGAATTTATTTATAAAAATTGTTCTTACATGTTTAAACTTCAGTCACCTTTAGGTACTTGACACAATATACTTATCAAGACATTTTTCCACTGATCAAAAAAGTTTTTGAACTTGTCAATTTTGATGCCTTTTAGTGCTTTTGCCATTTTTTGTTTCACCTTTTCTACCTAGATAAAATGTTTCCCTTTGAGGACTTTTTTCATTGGGGAAACAAACAAAAAAAGTCATATCGGGCAAGATCAGGTGAACAGGGAGGGTAGGAAATAGGGTCATGCTGTTTTTGGTCAAAACAGCTGAATACTCAGAGCAGTGTAGGCAGGTTTGCTCATAAATCACTCATCATGAAATGGGCAAATATGTTGAAAGAGTCTTCCAAAAAATTCACTGAAGCCTCTCACAGCCTCTCACAACAACACCAGCTGGTATGCTGATACAGATGGGTTCCTAGAACACTCAGCTAGCAGGGGAGGCCTGTACTACAAGGAGCCCACCCTCCAGAAGAGAATTTCATTGCATATAACAGTGGTTTTGTTGTCTTTATTCCATGACTTTTTGTTTTATTTAAATCTATTTTAAATGCTGGTTGCTTTTCCAGTATTATAAGAAAATTGTTTTGGAATACTGTACAAAAATTGAATTGTGGAAGTATTTAAGCCATGTATTTACTGTATGAAGAAATCTAATTATAAAAAAGAGTATTAAATAGTACTCTATTCTTTGATTTAAATAATAAGGATATTTATGAGTAAAAAATATACACATTTCAAGAACAGAGAGTTTCTTTCTTGCAGAGTCAACTAAGGTCCTACCTTAGAACACTGATGTCAGTATTTCATGATAAAAACTCTTTCCTGACTTGCTGCCAAACTTGGGTAAAAATAGGTATCATTTAATCAGTGTATGACATGCATCGTTGTTGAACTAAATAATTTAAAATCATACCAATAGACACCTGGGCTCTATTATAGCACATTTTTCCTTATTGGTGTTTGAAACACGTGTCCTAATAGGAATGGAGTTTGTGCACATGCATTTTCACAAATGAACTTTGAGCACAACAGCCAGAGTCACTGCCAAATGAAAAATGGCATCGATCCATGTGGCCTGCAGTGCAGACCACTTTCAGTTCTCCCCATGCACCTCTGCTCACCCAGATGAGCTCACCTACACCACGCCAATGCTCAGTGACTCTCTGGCTCTCCTTTACTTCTCCTGGTAATATCATTTTCCTACTACTTTTGAAAAATGCTATCCTTCTGTGCAGGAGAAGAATTTATAGGCAACAGAGCACTCCAAAAGAAACTTCAAATAAAAAACTGCCTCCATATGTTAAAAATGAAAAATTAAAACAAAAGTTCTCATTTACTTCAGGAAAGAAAACAGAAACATATGCATCCAAGGGGTCATCATTTGTTTTTATTTTCCAGACTTTACTTTTGGACTAAAATTCTCACAAAAACTCTACTGTGTCTGAGTAACCACTTTTGCTGGTATCTGTTGTCCTATTTTCTGATATGTTCTAAGATTAAGTTGAGGAATAAAGTGTGGAATCATCTAACTGTTCATCTAGAACTCCCTGTAGTATTTCTATTTCACCTTTGTAATTTTTCATTCTCCTGTTAGGTATTTAATAGATGGATTAATTTCTCAAAGAAGGGATCAGAATTCATATTTCTTAAGTCCTTTTGGAACTGGATTAGATAAAGCCCTAGAGAAATTCTGACAAGGATCCTTGGACTAGTAAGCAAAGAGGTTAAGTGATCTCATTCTGGTTAATTCTAGGCAGAGCAAAGAACAAATTCTTTAAGGATTTCAAGTGCCATCAGTGGTTCAGTGATAAAAATGGACTTATGAAAGATTCATGTAGTATCATAACTTTAAAAAGGTTAATTATGTAAATTCTGCATCCTAACAGCTAAGTATACAATTGTAAATTTATTTATTTATGTTTGTATTTATTTATTTAATTTTTATTGTCGTTCAGTTACAGTTGCCCCACCTTTTTCCCTCTTTGCTTTCCCCTAACCCATCCCCTCCTCAGTTAATCCCCCCATTGTCCATACCCATGAGTCCCCTATTTCTGTTCCTTTGCTTACCCCCTCTCCCTCTTTCCCCCATTATCCACCCCCCCCACCCAGTCACTGTCAGCTTGTTCTTTATTTCCAAGTCTCTGGTTTCATTTTGCCTATTTGTTGATTAGGTTCCATTCTAATTTAATTTAACTGTTTAATTTTATTTCATCTTAACACAATATCAGTTTACCTTTAGAAGAGTTTAGTTCATCACAGACATGTATAAAAGAGGATTTTAAATTGAAAATTAAAGTACAGAAAGCAAAGTTTAACATAAAAATTCTCAAACTGCCTAACCAGAAATAAATTTAATACAATAACATATTAATATATTAAAATAAACAAATTAGACATTGACCTCATTGTTTAAAATATTAAATATCACTTCTTTCAACCTGGAAAAAATTTTGTGAAATCCAGGAATGAGTTTTACATCTACATGCTAAATAAATAGTAAAGAAAATTTATATATATGTTGAATTATGATATTGTGGGTTCTTGTACATAATCAATAAACAAGTATACTTTAGACCACAGCTGTTCAATAGAAATTTCCAAGATGATGGAAATATCTTGTATCTGTGCTATTCAATATGGTAGCTCCTAGCCCATGTGGTTATTAGTGCTTTATATATGTGACTAGTGTGGCTAAGAAACTAAATTTTCAATTTATTTAATTTTACTTAACTAAAATGTAAATAACCACACGTGCCTAGTGCCTACTATACTGGATAGAGCAAGTAGGCTATGTCGTTAACTGTCCTGTGTTAGGTCCAGGACAAAGGAAGAGGCCTTTGTCCCTTAACTGCCACCACAGTGGGAGTCCAGCTTCTAAATTCTGGAGACATGATATGCTGTTCTTGTCAGAATTTGGCATTGTGATAAAAGGATGGGCCTGGCAGTTAGGAAACCTGGGCATCATTCTTCTTCATACTCTCTCAATTTGGGGAACATAAGGTTGAATAACATAATGTCTGAAATAACATTCATTCTCCGTACTCAACACAGCTCCTCTAACAATCACTGTATTTTGTCTCCCCATACTTCCGACACCAGTCAGATGACCCACTGGCCTGTCTTTGGACCCTAGGCTGATGACATTGAAAAATGGCCACTTTTCAGAATGGAAGACAGAAATGCTCCCTAAGCAAACCAGTTTTTTGTGTTTTTTTTTGCCTTAGTATGTCAGGTACTTCCTCATTCTAGGAATCTCCTATGTTTCTGTAATTCCTCCCTTGCACTGTCCTAGTTTCCTCGGACAAGGAGCTCCTGACTGACTGGGTCTCCTGAAGCACTGTGCTATTCTAATTTCCACCAGCCCATCCCTCAGCAAACCTCTGCCCAGGGGCTCACAACACTGGAATGGACTCCTGCTAGACTGGATATTATTTTAAAAACAATAAAATAACAGCAATAAACCAGAGATAAGGTGATGGAGACCTACGGGAAGATGGTGGTCATGAAAATAACAAGGTCAATAGATATTTTGAAGGAAGTAAAGGCCCTCAGCAAAAGATTAGATAAAAGGTTAATGGAGAGGAAGGAATCAAAGATAATTTCAAGGTCACTGAGTGGATGAAGTTAAACTTATGACAGATAAAAATCAGGAAACTGGTAGTGAAGGATAGGTTACAAAGGAAAAACAAGATAATTTTAAAGTTAGACTCGTAAAATTTTAGATTTTAGATACAATTAGTCTTTTATATATCTACCTCTGTATCTGTATCTATCTACACATGTATACGTTTGAGGAAATTTCAAACAAAGGATCACTAAACAACTTGTAAAAATCTCAAAGCACTTTACTGGCATAATCAAAGCTAAGGCTCAGATATCTTTATTCCCATATGAAACAACCAGTTTCTTCTAATTGGAGATGGAACTATAAGGTATCCAAATAAATATTTTAAGGGCACTTAGTTACAAGAAAAGGCTGGAAATGTAGTTTTCTGGAAACACTAGAACCCAGGAAACAATGTAAACTATTAGAATTTGACGAGCTCACAGTTAGGAAGTGCAGAGAGAAGGAAAGGGGGGTCAATAGTCAAAACTGTTAAATGGATGCAGAGAATCAGAGCGTTCAGGGTTTCGGTCCCACCCCACACTGCTCTGCTTTGGGGAATAAGTAATGATGGTGACGGTAACCTTGACACTGAAACTACTCTTAGTCCTTACAACACTATGAATATTATTATTATTCCAATGTTTTAGAGAATTTGGATGCACGGGAAGATTTGACTAAGGTTACACGTATTTAAACCTAACAGGATTTAAATTAAACAGAAACAGAGCTATAATTTTTGTCTAAATTGGGACACTTTTGAGAGTAAAAGAACAACAGAGATAAACTGGAAACATCCAGGCAAAGGAGGTTATATTGTGCCCCCGTGATTAACCACTAAGCAATCTGCCTTAAACATTCTAGGACCATGAATGTTCTCCTAATGCTTCATCATTTGCCTGAATTCAATCCACAGAAAATTTCTGTTGTGTATACTTTCTCCTGTTTTCAATTTCTTGCTTTCTGAGAGTTTCTTTAATTACAAATTTTTTCCAGTCTCTAAAATCTCTTGAAATCTTTCTCAAATTCTTCTATTTCCAAACAAATATCTTCTCTTTCAAATATTCATTCCTGCATATTCTCATGACCACCTCCACTGCCACCTCTTTGTTCCTGTCCCATCCTCATTTTCCTGTTTTATGCAGTGGCCCCTTCTCTCTCTGTCCTCCTTCTCCTGCAGTCTTCCCTTCATGCTACTGTCCGTTCCCTTCATCAGAAACGAAGATCTGATGCCTCCGTTAAGACCAAGGAATGGGGTAGGGGGTAAAAAAAGAATGAACTTCTAGTTATAAAATAAATAATTTATGGGGATATAATATACAGTATGGTGACTATAGTTATTAATGTTATACAGCATATTTAAATGTTGCTAAGAGAGTAAATCTTAAATGTTCTCATAAAATGAAAAAAATTTGTAACTATGTCAGGTGATGGATGTTGCTACACTTACTGTAGAGATCATTTTGCAATATATACAAGTGTAGAATCATTATGGTGTACACCTCCGATATAATGTTGCATGTCAATTATACCGTGAAAATTAGAAAACAATAATAAATTCAACCACAGATAACTTCCTGTTGGTCTCAGGATAATATTTACAGCTCTCCAGCCCCATCTGCCACTCTCTTCCTGTGCCTCAGGCATTCTTCATCCAAGAGGTCAGCAACCCTCCCTATTATCTGTGCAGGCCCAGGGTGTACCACAGCATTCAGAAAGCCACAGGCCCTCAAATGTTTATTAAGAGAATGTTCTACCACCTCAGAGGCTTTCTACTTTGTAAGTCTCTGCACACAACCCTGAGAGCAGCATGCTAGGCAGCTAATAGTTGAATAAATATTTCCTACATTTATTGTTTCAGCAATGCTTCAGACTTCTTTATGGACATCACAGTTAAGGAAAAAAAATGAAACACTCCTTTAAATGGTAATATAAACTTCTCAAGGCTGGAAAATGCAATCTATATTTCATTTTAAAGCCTAAAGTGCATCTTGTTACCTAAAGCCTTAAGTGTATCTTGTTACCTAAGCCAATAACTAAGTTTTTCTATTGGTAAAATCCATGGAATCCCTGTTAAGTGGAGTTTCTCCATGAAACCTCCCAATGCTCAAGAAGACAGTTCTGTCTTGCATGAGTGTTAAGAAATCACTTAGCTGGGGATAGTCGAAATTTGTGTTACGTATTAATAGGGTTCTCTTTTGGTCAATGAAATTCACATTGTTGTGTAAACAAATGGATCTGGAAGTTAAAGTGTTTTTCCCCTTTGTTTATGTTGTCACTCTAAATGATGTAGAGAGATAGATAGCCCACAGAGCATTTCTACCCAGGCCTCCCTGACTAAAACCCAGTATTTATGGTGGGAATAAGAAATGCTGTCTACCTGCTCAAACAGTAATGCTGTTCTTCTGCCACGCAGTAGGCTAAAGTCCTATGTCAATTAGAGAAACATTAGAAAAATCATGATAAAACCTGACTTGTTGGAAGGCGGTGAAGAAGAAAAAAAAATCCTTGCATTATTCCTTTAATGAAAGAAATACATTTAGGTTTTGTTGTTGTTTTTTTATTTTTTGGGGGGGTGGTTGTTTTATTGGACTACCGTATGATCCTTATAAAAAAGTAATTAAACTAGTGTGAGTATCAATACACTTAAAATTTTGGAGGGAAATGTCTCAACCGAAACACAACTTATCCTTAAACAAAAGAATAATCTAACCCCTTTCCATTCTGCTCATAAGCAGAATTTGGCTTAGTCATCAAAAAGAGGCTGCAGGAGAAAGAGGCTAACTTGAAGCCTGAGCAACTGACAAGCTGTAAGACCTTGATCAATTTCCACAGCTTCCCTCTAACTCAGTTTACTCATCTTTAAGAATTGTTTAATAATTATATATACCACATAGGTCATTTGTGAATATCAAAAAAATCAGAGCATAGAAGTGTGAACAATAACACATTCAAAAAATGTCAGCTATTATTATATACACAACATGTCTAACTTAGTAAGAAATTTCTTCAAGTGTATTTTTAACTGAGTTGAATCACTTATCCCAAAACACAGCTGAATGAATAAAAATGAGTTTTTTATCTTTTGAAGAGCAAGGCAAAATAATCAAAAGTGAGAAAACCACTAACCATTGAGCCAGTAGTGCTCTGAAATGTCAGTTCTGATGTAATGGTGGTCCTGAGTAGGCCCGAGGGACCGTGTGAATGCCGTGTCTTTGCCAAGGAAATCAGAAGCTGTTCCAGAGTAGAGGTACTCATCTGGTGGGAGAAAAGAATACACAGGACTTCTAAGAGTTTACCAGCGGATGCTGTTTATAATATACCAATTTCACAGCATGAAACCAAAGATGCTTATTGCTTAACATCAGAATATATTGATATTATAATTCATAAATTTCACACTCATATTTTGAAAAATTTGCTTAAAGAAAAGATAACACAATGAACTTTGTAAGCTGATGACAGATACCTGAATACGATAAAGGTCAAAGTCGCTGAATCAATAACTGCACGTGTATTGGATTCACTTATGAATGAGCTCTTCTTTCCCTTCTCCTCACAAATAAGGATATATCATAATTAGGAGTTCCTCATTGTAGCAACACACAGAAATATTAAAAAGTAAATGCCATAATGAGGAATGGATTGTGTAATTAGTATTTACTTAACCAACACAACCTCAGTGACCACAGCTTCTCTTTGCCTAATCTCTGCTGAAAGGGAGCTTTCAGCACTGAAGTCATTCTTTGTAATTATAACATTTTTGCATTCCTTGTAGCTAGTGATGGCTCTAATAGTTCTGATAAACAGGAATTCCTGAAAAGGGACAGAAAGGAATGATGTTGCCTTTACTGCATACCAAACTTCTTTGTCCTGTTTATTATGTAAAGTGCATATCCATGTTTTATTGGGGGAGGGCGGAGAGAGAGAAAAGAAGAAAGAGAAGGAGAAGGAAAGGGTGAGGCAGAGGGGTGGGGAGGGGAGGGGAAGAGGGAGAGAAAGAAATGGGGTTAGAGGGGAAGAAAGAGGCTGAGAGGGGAAAGGTGGCTGGGAAGATAGGTGGAGGAGGGGGAGACAGGAAGGAGTAGAAGATGACAGGAGGAGGAGGAGACAAAGAAAATAAAGAAGGGAGAGGAAATGCAGGAGGAGTGGTAGACAAATGGACTGGGGGGAGGAAAAAAGGAGGGGAGGTCAAATTTTCCCCAGTGTTTGTTAGCGCATTGTTGGGGTGGAGGGAGGTAGCAGAAAAGCTTCTATCCCTGTAGTACAATATCTTGCCCTTCTGAGAGCTAAGCTTCTATTTCAAGAAATCTTCTCTTAGTCAGCTTCTATGGGTTACCCTTAATAGACCAAAATAAAAAAAAATGGCTAATCTCTACAGAGCAGTTAAATATTTTAAGTGCCTAAATAAAAGAACAACTAACAGCATTGTTTTATCACTGAAGTCCAATTTTCCTCAGAAAAATAATCTTTAAATTTTTGTCTTTGTGTAAGTGGTTCAGATACTTTCTAAATCCTCTGATTCTATTCATCTAAATAAGTCTTTACTGAACTAATTGAGACAACCAACCTAAATAATGCCAATAGTCAACTTCAAAGGAAAAAAAAGCACAAAAGAGAGAAATCCAGTTATATGAGGTAGATGCTGATATGGTACTGCTTTCATCTCTTGATGCATCCCCTAGATATTTCATTGTGGGGCAAATTTTTAAAACTAGAAGCACACAAACAAATCAGTAAAAACATTATGAAAAAAGTTTGGTAAGAGTGAAGGAAACAAATGATTAGTTTGAAACAAAATTGCAAATACTTGAACATTTTCACAAGAAAAATAAGAAAACTGTATCTTTCTACTCCCAAAATAGAATCTGCAGATCCAGACTTTAAAACTGTCTTCTTTGTACTTAAATTACTTAGGGATTCCTGAGAGGGGTTACCAGTGCCCACAGTCTGTTGTTTTGTATTAAGGGTGTGTTAACCCTTCTTGACAGAGCAGAATCACAAATCCTCCATCTCATTTTTTGGAGGATAATGACTGAGCATTAGTCACGATTGATTTTCAAAACACACAAAAACATACACTTTCACTTCAAAGGAAGATCACGAGTTCTCACTAAGTGAAAATTAAAATGTCATGGTGCTTCACTCTCATGAGTACTCAAGCATTTGATAGACAAGTTAAATAAAAAGAGATGGCATTCACGAACCAAACCAAGACAAAAGGAGTTCTCGTGGTTGAAATTCAGAAGTTGTGCTGACATTCCTCGGAGCAGTCTTCAGACCACACAGTACTGCCTGCCTTCATCAAACAGGAGAGTTGTCTCATAAGCAAATTTAAGATGTATACAAAGCAAGAGAAGACTGAATGTGCTAGCAAATATGTCACATTTCCACTAATATAATCAGGTTATGGGGAATTCGAAAGTTAAGGTGTTATAACATTCTATTACCTGTACTCTATAGTTTGATTCATTTATTTTATTAATTTATCCATTCATGTCTTATTATTAATCTTTCCACTTAAATCTTTAAAAATTTTGCAGCATATTATGTTTAAGAAATGACTAAATTTATAGGGACATGGCTTAGTATAAGAAAATTGGAGACATTTAAATGCAATATTTCAGAACAAGTGAGCATGTGTCATTTGCATTAAAAAATTCAACCAAAGTTCATGTAAAATGTAACTGTGCAGACATTAAGAATGGCTGAGACCTCACTGTATTGATAAGGATGCTAAGTATAGAGAGATTTGGCACTAAAATACTATAACCAAATAGGGGAAGATTCCAAAATAACCTAACTCAATATGAAAATGTAGTTTAATCTGCACATACCTTTGGAGAAAAACACCTGAAGTGAGAACTGCCTGTCACTAATCTTACCTGTCATTACTGAAGCGAAAGGCTGTTGAGGATCAAACGGACATTTCAGTCTGCCAGACTCCAAATTGTATGTGTCTAGTTTGAACACAACTTCCTGTTATGAGAAATATTAACACAAAGTGAGATTTCTTAAAGTATCAGAATCAGTAAGAACACAGGAGATAAGAACTAAATTCTAACTCATTAATTCAACAAAAACCAACTGAGCATATGTTATGTGCATCATGCTGTGCTCCTCAACTCTTTAGCAAATATTATTTCTGGCAAGACTCAATTCCCATGTTTTGGTCTCTGTTTGCCTAAAGTAGTAGTAATAGTAATAACAATAACAACAACAACAACAACAATAATAATAGTAATAATACTGATGAATGGATTTATCAATCAGAAGTACTAATATATACTCATCAATTCATTAGGCCTGGACCACTATTATTATCATATCACCATTAAACACAAATATTCCTTAAGCCTAATAAATAACTTATTGAACTTAATAAGTCAATTTCATTATCTAAAAAATAAGTTTACTATAATAATTATACTTTAATAGCTTTATGGTCTATTTACCTAAGCAGCTGCAACTACTCCAATAACTTAAGCTTTATTGGATTTTGTAATTTTAGTGACAAAATGTTCTAAGGTAGGCAGTTCATTTACTGAGCTATTGATGCATGTGGGTGAAAAATGTCCTGTTACAGTATTTTCACTATTATGAAAACACTGTACACATTAAAAGCCACATAGTTATTTTGGCTGAAACATCTATTTGTACAATAGTGGCCACAGACAAAATGACACTACCATACTTTTAATATTCAGGAAAAAATAACATTTTAAGTTAAACTTTCCAAGAAAAATATGAATGTATAATGAATATGGTCCCACGAGCTAGAACATTCATAATAACAATGACAACACCACAATCCAGCAAAAAGGCTGGTGACTCACCCTGCCTACGCGCTAGAGAAATTCAGAATTTCAGACACTTTCTCTCGATGGTGTGCCTACAAAGTTCTACCGGGACACACACACATGTCATAAGAAAGGACTATTCAGTGCTATTTATCTAGAAAGCAAGCAGCGAAGCAAGAGGGAGCGAGGACTTGGATTATTACTGCATCATGTGCCATGTCAGATCTCTAAAGTTCATGCTTTTACCTAATCTATCTCAGAATTCAAACTCATGAACCTAAAATGTGTTGAAATCAATTACTAGTAGCCTCACAGTGACCATGTAACATGATCAAGTCCAAGCATGTTTAATTAGAACAAGTCAGCTAATGACAAGTTGTGATAGCAGGGACTAGGCACAAAAAAAAAGTCCAGTGAGAACACATTTAGGGCATGCTTTCCAACCGTGGATGGGGCTAGAGATTGTCAGGAAGAAAAAAAGAAACACTTGTAGATAGTGGCTCTTAAGTATGTTTCATTATCATTGAGGGAACATTATTCCCCACAGATCAAACAGAACTGTTGGCTCTAAAGCCTATAATGGGATATTGTAGAAGGAAACAGCAAGCTGAATCCTGGTATGCCAGAAGATTATAGTGAAGAGCTAAAAAAGAAAACCGAGAAAATATCTGAGATAATGTCACAGTTGATGCAAAGTACTAAATACTCCCTTATAATTGTACAGACTTCTGTTTTCAAAGTGCAACATTTCATTAAATTCTCAAGATAAGCCTGTAAAATTGTTATTTGTGGAAGCTGAGGACAAGGTCTCCCTTATAATCTCCTGGAGAAGGGAGATAGCAGCAAAGTGTTTCTCTGAGCCAAGAGTCAAGGACACCAGCAGGAAAATGACGTCAAAAATAATGGCTGATTAAATGGACTTCCACAGATAATTGACTGAATTACATGGTACTCTAACTTTGCAGACTTCAACTTTGTAAGATTTTTTTCCCATTTAATTACTTAACTGTAAGCAATTATGCAAAAACACATCTACCTAAGCTGCACACAGAAATATTTTTGAAATAAAGCAATAAGAATGATACATCCTGGCTGGTGTGGCTCAGTGGATTGAGCACCAGCCTGCAAACCTGAAGGTGGCCCAGGTATGATTCCCAGTCAGGACACATGCCTGAGTTGTGGGCAAGGTCCCCAGTGTGGGGCATGCAAAAGGCAACTAATATATCTCACATGGTGATGTTTCTCTCCCTCTCTTTCTCCCTCCCTTTCCCTCTCTCTAAAACCTAAAAAAAAAAAAAAGAATGATAGGAAATATTTAATCATCACAACTAGGCAAAGTTATTATTAATACCATTATTTAAAGACAGGATTTGTAGCAGCAGAGGGAAGAAAGAACATACTTCCAGTCCAATTATTTAACAGTTATCAGGCACTTCTAATTTTTCAGAGTACATGTGTGTGTGTATATATACACACATGCATATATACAGCAGATGCTATTTTTATATGAAATTTATATAATACTTTTGAAATCATTGTATTTTCTCATTTTATCCTCAGAATTACTCGGTGAGGTCCTTAGTATTTCTATCACCATTTTGCTGAATAAACAGAAGCTTGGAGAGCTCATGCAATGTGCATAAGACCAAGGAGCTGGTAAACGACGGGAGCATAATTCAAACACTGGCTCCCCAAGTGCCAATGATTACTTGTTGACAACAGCCCTGACTTCTGTCCTGAAATCCAGATCCCACTGCCCCGCTGGCACGACCTCCTCCTGGACATTTCTCAAATGCAGAGCATAGCACCATTCTCCCCACAAACTCATTACTATTCTCACCTCAATAAGTAACACCACTCTCTAACTCACTGCCAAAGTCAGAAATCTGGGATTAATTTTAGCTTTTTCTATCCTTCTTCCCTTTGCCCTGCTGCACTGAACAGGAGTCCCCAGAAAGGGGATTTCCCTCACTTCTCGCCTCCATCCTTTTTATATATATGACTGTCCCGTCTTCTCATCCCCTCCAGAGCAACCTTATCTATCTTGAACATGGAAGAGCCTTCCAAATTCCCTCTGGAAGAACAATGAATACTTGGGACCAATAATTCATTTAAAAAATTAACAAGCTTCAAGCAGGGCTGAATATGATTACCTGTACTCCTGACTAGCAGCAAACTCACAGGGCTCAATACCCCCCTTCACTTGCAATTCTCTTACTCAGAGAACTTGTAAAATTCATGGCCCCTGGGCTTCTTGACAGTCCCAAGCTAAATAATTAGCTCCATGTAAATTCCTTTTCAGCACTTGTGATTTTTAGGAGCTAAAGAACACTCTTCGCATCCCTCAGCAGGTTGTGAGTTTGGCCTTTAGCCTCAGGCCTCAAAACACATCCAAGCTGTGGGGCTATCTCATATAATTACACCCTATGCTGTGAGCTGCTATTATATATTATCCTTCATCAAAGCTCAGCAGAGGACATTACACAAGCAGCAAAGAATGATGGATTCCAGTTGCCAAGTCTCCTAGTGGTTCAGAGCTAAACTATCAGGGTTGCTTTATTTTCAAACAGTAGAGTCTGGGCTGGTTAGACAAGTTGGTTAGAGAGGAAAATTTATCCAGCCACAGTCATGGATTTGATTTGTGCATGAATCCATTAAGCCAATGTAAAGAAACCTGTTCCATAAACTCAGACTTAAGTTCAAACATGTAGCCAATTATCCTGCAAATATATGTGGTTATTCACATGAAGTATACACATAAACATAAGGATGACAGTGCAACCCATCAACCCATACAAAGATACACTGCAGAGCACATGTTCTAAAGCTCAGTTGTGCAGGCTTGCATAGAGACAGACTGCTTTGGTTCAGTTCCTTGTTAGACCATGTAGTAGTTGGGTGATCTTGGACATGTTATTTAATTCCACTGAAACTCAATTTTTTTCTAACTTGTAAATTAGGAGTAAAAAAGGTAATAACTTCAATAACTTCATTGAGAGTGTTGTGAAATTCCAAAGATACAATCTATGCAACATGACTGCCACAATCGATGACACAAAAAGGCATGTTAATATATTAGTTATTAATTAAATCACTGAAGTCTGTATGTTTCTCATTTATTGAAATGCTCATAAATAGCTGGAATACATTTCTCCTAATTAATACATGCTTTATTCCCACTTTATCAATTTTGGTCCAGCAGGAAAAAAAAATGGGTTCATGTGCAAATATGGCTACCTATACAATTATAAGAAAAATATTAAATGTTCTGTACTTAGTCTCCACCATTGTAAACATAAGTAATAGGTCAAATTTGTTGAATGGGAAAAACAAAATTTCTTATAAGATACAATTCCATTGCCATGTCCTTTGGCAAATGGATTTTTACCAACAGCAACATATTATACAACTCTAGTTGTAAATGAACCTCAAGAGAAAATAAAGACACATAGAGTTCATGGGAAAAAAAGCACTTCAACATTTTACTATCAGTTTTGATCATCTCACTAAAAAAACAAACATTTGATAGAAAAAATTTTCATTAGGTAGATAAGGTGTATAACAAAATAACAACCCATAAAGTGTCTGGGAACATGAGTTTTTATGTAGTTCATAAACTATTTTGACTCAATCTTTACATTCAAATCTTCCTGTTTAATGTCTTAGGCATTAAGTAACAAAATATTACAATGCATTGTTTTCATGCAACTTCATTATATTACCTCCTTGTAGACTCCAAGATCAATATATCCACATATTGGATGAAATGCTCCAGTTCCACACACATAAATGTGAGTTCTGTTATAGGGTTGAAGTACCCGAATGAAATTTGCACATTCTGTCTATTGAGCATAAAAAAAAAAAGCATTAGCACACGATTCAACTTTTGGATAGATTGTTATTCATGCCACCTGTTTTTTAAGCAGATAAATCATCAGAAATATGGGAAAATGAAAAAGATTTATGAGAAATGCTTAAACACCTGTCTTAGCAAAGGAGGCAAAACAAATTTTACTGTATATAATGCACACCCAGGTTTTTGGCCCAAACTTTCAAGAAAAAAATGTTTCATTTTAATTTTTAATTCAATTTTTAATTTATATATACAACTGATTATTGTAATTCCAGGGTATTATTAGAGTTACACTTTTAACACATGTGCATAAGTAAAAAAATTAAAATATTTTGGAATTAGTACTACCCATGTATAATGCACATCCTTATTTTTCCCTCAAAAAACTAGGCAAAAAGGTGCACATTATATGTGGCAAAATATGTTACCATAGAAACTATGGCTTAAATAAGTGACTTTGAAGCTTTTTGAAGTTTTAAAGGTTGTGAACTAATTAACTGCTAGAATGCACATCTCTATAGAGGTACCCAGTGGGATCTAGATAATGAATATACATAGAGTATTAATGACATATCCATGCTTTCTTTCAAGAATTCCCTAGAGAACAAAACCCATCATGTTCTGATGTCTACATATTGGCTATACCATACAGATTCTACTGTTTGTAACATCAACTGTCTCAGCTACATTGAACCAAACACTGAACACAGATGTATTTCCCTGTCTATGTGTCCCGCCCACTCTTCTTGCCGGGATCACCCTGCCACTTTGTTTCTCTTTATTTTCAATATTACAGAGCCGTTAAGACTCAGATTAACTCCTGTTTATTCCAAGAATCTCTTCTGTTTTTTTTTTCATGAATATATTTTGCACCAAGTTCAATTTTTTAAGATACTTTTACATTTCTAATTGTTTTGCATATGCTTAGGCCTAAAAACATTTCTTACATCCTCATTATCTTTATAATAATTATTTTCTATCCCTCAGTTACTTGTAAATAGTGACTCTCAATTTTTCGTATAATTTTTGTTATTATATATTATTTTCAATTTACCATCTATAAGTGACTTCTTATCATTACAAAATTATTAGAAACAATTTTTAAACCATAGCTTCATGATTCCTGTACCCCAAAACCCCTGAGAAAACGTGGCCGTAGCACACTTTCATTCTACATTGACTTTACTCAAGAGACGGGCAGGTATTTACTATGGAAGTTGAAAACCTATGAAATCACTGAAATCCATTTTTTAAAAAATTCCACTTTCTCCCTGTTGTCACTGTTGTTATGAGGATTGTTAGGAAAAATCTAAACACACATGCACACACACACAAAATGCCAATACCTAAATGGGTTGGTAGGAGAGTTCATAGAATGACATTTAAAAGATTTAAAAAAGCAGATAACTTAATTAATAGGATGTTACATGGTTTAAATTAGATAATATAATATTTAATAACTGTTTATCACTTGCCCTATATACTAAATATCAATATCTGAGTGGCTCTTCTGATTATACAGGGAAAAGCTATGTCAGCATACTGTGACAGAGTTCCTAGTATCTATCCAGCCACCCCAGCAATTGCATGTCTTCAGAATTTGTACATCCCAATTAATGAAATGAGCACGTGTTATGTTGCTTAAGACTATACAAAAGGACAATAGTTGTCCCTCAGCCATACAAGTAAAGGATGTTTCTTTCTCAGATAGGAATATTTAGCCTAATAAAAGCAGGATCACTGAATATGGTTGCTTAGATTGTATGCTGAAAAAAATAATCACATCTAAAGATGCACAAGTCACACTACAGACATGTTTATTGTCCTGAATATTTTCATGAGTCTAGTATATGTTCCCACATATTTCTTATATGTAAACTCCCCCAAAAGGAACACTTTATATTTATTAAGACAATTTTCTGATAGACAGTCTTGTTTAACAAAATCATGTCAGTTTTGTACCTTCATGCCAAGGTATCTGAAAATGAGAACCTCTTTTCTATTTTCAGAAAGGCACCATGGGAAACTGGTTTCATGTCCCTTATCACCATGTTAGGCAGTCTCAGACAAAATCCTAACTCACAGAGTGAATATGCTGTACTAATGGCTTTGAACAAATGATGGTGACACAGTAATGTAAGAACTGCTCAGGCAGAAAGTCTAAAAATGGATGTAATCACCAGCTAAACTGTAATGATGCTCCATTGCTGGGGTAAGAGGTTTTAATGTTCTCTTTTATTTTGCTCACTCATGCACACTGAAGGGACTTTTATCTCTTACTCTTTCCCTCCCTTAAGAGATGTATGCAAGGGTGAGATCTACACAAGGGATAGTACATGGGGAGGGTAAGAGTAGACCTGTACAACTGGAGTGAGGTGAGATTGAGTCACTGGCAAATATTTCATCATTTTCCCAAAAGTTCTTGAAGGGTAATTGGTACACACTGAATATTTGTGTCCTCCCGAAATTCACAGGTTGAAAACCCTAACTTCCCAGTGTGATGGTACTAGGAGATGGGGTGTTTGGGAGGGAATCAATTGAAGAAGAGGTCCTGAGGTCAGGATCCTAATTACGGGCTACGAAGAGACTGGGGAACTTGCTCTCCCACTCTCTGCCGCAGGAAGATACAACAGGAAGATGACCCTCTGCAAGCCCAGAACAGAATTTTCCCCGGAAACCAAACCAGCCAGCACCTTGATCTTGGCCTTGTCAGCCTCCTGAACTGTGAGAAATAAGTGTCTGTGGGTTAAGCCACCCAGTTGGCATTACTTTGTTATAGTAGCCCAAGGTGAATAAGACATTAGTTTTACCAGATTCTAAACTAAATATTTGTAAAAAGAAATAAAACAATTTCCTTTCCAGCTGACAAATTACAGAGTCAGAGAGATTAAGGACTCTGAGAGACACAGCACTGTTTATAAAGGTAAATAGGTCCAGGGTAAAGTTTTACACACGTAAGAGATATAATTTTAGTTATTACAAAGAAAAAGCTCTGAATCACACCTAAAGCATTTCACATCCTTCAGCTTGTCCAGGAATAGTTTAGCCCAGGAAAGTAACCTATTATGCTAGTTTCTGACTTGGTAAAATATCCTCAAGGACTTAGGAAATTCCACCCTTCTCTTAGGTTGGGCTGACATGGAGTAGAACAAGGTATGGATGGATCCTGAGTCATCCGACATATATATTTGACAAAAAAAGTCAACATTGTTCAAACATCTCTGTACTGAAGTTGATAGAGAATGGTTCTCTAAGCAGCCTGGAGGCAATGAAAAGGCATTGGCTTTTTCCTTGGAAAGAACCTGAGAAACAAAGATCCTAAAAGATAAGGTCTCAATTCAAAATTGCCTGAAGTGGACATTTCAGCCAAACCAGTGCTGTGAGGTGAAAGCTTTATACAATGATTTCCCCTTTAATTTGTAACTTATTTTTTTTTGTCTCAAAGATTCTCTGTTGTTTTCTTTTTATACACAAAGTTTCTAAGTTTTGTTTAAAGAGCAGGAGCAATAATTAACTTGATTTAATTCACTTGGTGACTTGCATGGCTATTAATGGTAGTATAATTCCGTGAGGCATGAAGGAAGATAACATTGAGAAACAGTTTTTTCAACTTTCTCAGAAAGCTGGCCAGTTTCTCAGTTATTGCTTACAATGGCAAGGGTTGCTGCTTGTGACCAAACAATTCAATTCACTGAGTAATATATATATGTACTCCTCTTAGAAAAAGTATTGAACTTCTCCTTCCTTCCCTTATTTCTCCTACCTACTCCCCTTCCCACCTACTCCCCTCCCCTTTCATCCATTAGAAGAGAGAGAAATGGAGAGAAAGAGAGAAAACAAGCATCAACTTTTTAAAATTCTCTCAAGTGACATTTGTTTCAATATTTTACCTCTCACAGACATCCACACTGGTATATATAACTAAATAAAACAAATATAAAACTGAGTTAATAATTGGAGAAAGACAAATATGTTTTAGTCTATGTATTAACACTTGGAATTGTAGTCTCTCTCTATATACCTGGAAAAATATTAACAAAATAGAAATATGAGTAATTCTCTAGATTTAAATATAGTCTAATTAAATCCAATATATATTTATATATATTTCTGGTAATTGACTTATAATTTGTTAACTTTATTTAGGTTACATATAGAAAGACACTCATAATTCAGGCATCTGGTCTGTTTCTATTTTTAGAATATGTTTCAGAATACTGTGATCATCAAACATTTTTGTTCATTCTTCTCATGCCTGTCATCATGCTGCATGTTAGGTTTGTCTAGCAAATCTCAGATAGAATCCCGTCTGCAGAGACATCTGCTCACGTCTTATAGTTTTGAAAATAATTTAACACTTTAGAGCAAGTACATGAAAATCCAAATATCATATTCTCCCTTAAAAATGGAAGATTAAACAGTGGAGATTTCTATAGAGCTAAACACAGTGGTGGTACGAGAGCAAAGGTAAACATTCTAAACATCTAAACATCTAAACATCTAAAGAAAAACAAATTGAGAGCTACAATTACTTCAATATTTAAAAATCTATATCAAATAAGACAACTTGGAAAGAATATTTTTATATCAGTGGATCACAAAGTAATAATATACTTTATATTATATGTGATATATATATATAGTTATATGTAATTTTCAAATCTTGAAAATCTGTAAATAACCAATAAGGAAAAGGAACACACTAAAATTTTAAAAATGAACAAATTGTACGGTATGCCATTCCAAAAATAAATTATAATTTTACAACTACATAGAATATTTAGCTTAAATAGTAATAAAAAATGTGCAAAGTAAAACAACAAAAATAACTTTTTGTTGGTAAACATTTCATATATTTACTTTATTCACTTATGTTTTAGAATTAAATATTAGCTGTATGGGAGATATACTCTCTCATGAACATCACTGCTGGTTAACACATGAGAGACATACACTTTCCGGAGGGCCATTTTGCAATGTGTATAAAAATTTTTATAGTTTTTGACCAGTGATTCTACTCAATAGTCAAAGATGCTCACAGATTTTTATATGAGGTTTTCCATGGGCAGCATCACTTACAAAAACTAAAACTGGATTTATACCAAACTTCTAACAATAGGGGATTGATGAAATAATATATAGAGGAATGCAGTATAGCTATTAAAAGTAGTGTTATAAAAAGAAATTTAATGACATGGGAAAATACAGCAGTCTGTGAAATGAAAAAAAATGTTAAGGGGCTATGTATACAATGATTTCATTCTGAAAAACAGTAAATAGATAAGATAGAAGAATAAACACCAAAATGTCACCAGCTATCTCTGGGTAATGTTCACGGAGGATGAAACATTTACAGATGATTTCTGTGTAATTTGCAAACTTTTTACAATGAATACTTTGTTTCACTTTCAGATGTTCTAAAAAAATAAAATGTATCACAGAACTTTAGAAAAGCAGCACCCTTTTAATGCTATGTAAAGTCTCTATTGACAGATTGTACGCCTCCAGATTCCACAGTTCCGCTGACACAGGCCAGGCTGCCTGCACCATTCTTTTGCCTGGAGTGACCTGTTTACTACCCCACTCTTTGTAGTCAGGACTGAAGACATTTCTTTAGTAACTTTCTTTTGAAAAATATCCTAAGCAGAAACAAGGTACTACCGAAGAGCTTTCTGCCATCTCTTTCCTTCCTTGAAGTAACCTGGAGACTGTTGGACAACGTGCAATAGTTCTCCTTTGTTCCCTCATTTTCTGCTTCCTCCCCACCCTAATTAGCTAACTTTCATTATGGTAAATAATTCACTATTTTTCAGTTATATAGTACCTTTGTGGAAAGGGACAGTCTTTACAAACACTTGTTAATTCTAAACACACTCTTGGGAATGAGGTAAAAATTACAGAGAGAAGGGAAACGAGAGGGTAATGCCAAAGCTAGTAAAAGGTGTCAATAAAACCCCACACTTGTCTCAGTTCTCTGTTGGCAGAAATCTGTGCGATGCTGAATAATGAGGATCCATATCATGGTGACATTGCAGAGAGAAGTTATTGGAGGGTTACAGATTTCAGACCTTACACGGAGAGCGCAGACCTTTATGTGTAAGGTGTCGTCAGTGTTGTGTAAGAGAACAGACTGTGGGAGCAAAACTTCTGGATTCAATTTCTGGCTTCACTATTTTACCAGATATGTGATACTGAGCAAGTCATTTAATTTTTCTGGCCTCAGTCTTCTCATCCAGAAAATGAGAAACAACAATAAAATCTAGCATATAGTAGTCATAGGATTAAATGAGATTATAAAGCATTAAAAACAACTCCCAGAACGTGGTAAGTGCTATAACAGTGTTAGCTATTCTTAGGAATGCTAAAATATAAAGTTATTTTAAAGGGGCAAATTAAAAAGGAGACAAAGACTTGTATTATCCCGACATGAATAAACACCAGACTCTAAAGATGTCAGGGAAAGGAGAAAATCTTCCCAATTTTCTAATCCTGGGTTAGCAGTAGCTGTGCTTAAAGGTTAGAGGTTACTACCGGCTCCCCAATACAACGGAATTGGAAGGATAGTTTTCATCCGCTGGGTCCTATGTGCTCTAGGATGCCACCTCCAGAAAAGTTTATCACCCTTTGCTTTAGCTTAATAATAGGGGCAACTGAGTTACTATATAACCAGAACTGGTGAACATACTGAAATGGGAACACTGTCACAATTAAAACCTCCTCTGACTGTTTGACCTTGAGTGTTTATCCCTCATCTACTCTATGGGAAAACTGATGTTAGTTTACTGGAGTAAATTTGAAACACCCTTTTCCTACTTGTCTCCTTATCATACACTCAATACTGGTGAAACAGAAAATATTAAGGCATTTGTACTGTTTGTGGCATGCTTCTACACAAAATTAATCAACAGAGTAATTTTGAAATCTTCATAACCAAAGCATCTTTTTTCCCACAAATTCAAAAACTATTGACGCTTTTGTAGACCTAGGCACTTGCTCGGAGTTTGGATATTGTAACAGGGTGAAGAGATTAGAGACATGAGAGAAAGAAAAATATATTCTAGCCCAGTTTAATCTCTTTCGTTTCTAGTAAAATAAACATAAAAATTGTTTTCTGTTGCATTTGATGCTACCATTCCCTCATACATTTCTACCAACATAAACGTGTCTGAAAAGGTCACATTTAATGCTGCTAACTGAGTACAAAATTAGGCATAATCAAAACTTTGTTTTGTTTTGATTGATTTGTTTTGCTGTACTGTGACTACATGTAACTCATTGGGTAATATCTGTACCACTCATTAGAGTGAAAGCTCCATGACAACAGATGCTCTATCACTTTCAGACACATATTTAGGCTCTTAATAAATATTAGTTTAATAAATGACTAAGCAAGTGAGTGAACAAATTTCTTGTCTCAGATTCTTAATCTTCTAGCCTTCTGCTTAATTTGTTAGGCATCATGTGTCATACTATGTTACTTTTATCACATTAATAAAATGAGAATTTTAAAATCTTATTTGGCTTTCATATAACACACACTATTTGTTGCTACTAAATATGAAGGCATTGCTCTGCTTAGTTACCCTGGGCTACTGTGATCAGAGCCAACATTTAGAGGATGTTGCAAAAGAAGACTCAATAGTCCATGTTTTTGCCCAAAGTTAGAACCTCTTACCATCTTGAGTTACATGCAGGAAGTGATTTATTTGGGGGGGAAAAAAGCCATTCTCCCTATCTCCACAGTGCAAAAAGTCAGAGTAGAACACAGAGCATCTGGCCTACATCAGAGCACTCAGATGAAGAGAATAGGCAGTTGTTGCTGGAGACAACACAGGCAAAAACATGTGGGGGAGCATGCATGGCACCTGGGACAACGCAAAAGCAATCCAGAAAGGTCACCCCAAAGATAAGTATGTTTAGTCATACCCACCTATAAGGCTTTTCTCTCATCCTTAAGTTAGCTTAAAGTACAAGTTTATATTAGGACTCCACTATTTACCCTTTATAAGGTATTTTATGTAATTATGCTTCAGTAAATTTTAGAGTAAAACATTTCTCATTTTTATTCTATAATGTTGTCTCATTCATTTTTAACCAATCCTTCTTAATATCTGTACATGTCAAGTTTTGAAAGAATGCTTCTATGTTTTGTAAGTTTAATTTTAAACCAAATTAAAGTAAGTATCAATTGTATGTAATGCTAAAACTGAGGACTTTGTATACATTCACAAAGAACATGCATGTAAATGAGAAATATACAATCCTAGAAATATAATATTTTCTGATGGCTTATTTTGAATATTTTAAATGCAACTGAGATTTTTTTGCAAGAAAAATAATAATATTCAGAGTTAACACTATAGGAAGTTTGGTAATTATACATTTCTGAGAATAATGTTACTCCTTTTAGCAAGGTAGAAATATTTTATACCATAATCTTTACACAGAATAAGTTAGTGTAGCTTTAAAAATAGTACACTAATGTCATTAATTCAATAAAACCCTATATAAATATTTACTATCATATCAGTACCAATTAAACAAAGATATTTTTAAAGTCTCATACTTACATTGGCATCTTTCCCAGCTAATTTACATAATTCCACCCGTTCCTTTGCAGCAGGCCAATAAATCTGTAAAACATTTCAAGGCGTGTTAGGATCGAATATCTACAACACCCTAAATTCTAATTAGGGAAGTGAGTATGTGAATTTAAAGAGTGGATATCAAACCAAGAACATATTGTTAGATATGATGTAAGAATTTTGAGATTTAAATAATGTCCAAAGTCACCCTAAAAAAATTCCTGAAAAAAAAAATTGTAGAGATATCCACTTTCACTTGTTTATCTTATTTACTTTTATTTTTATTTTTTTAAGATTTATTTATTTATTTTTAGAGAGGGAAAGTAGGGAGAGAGTAGGGAGAGAGAGAGAGAGAGAGAGACAGAGAGAAACATCAATGTGCGGTTGCTGGGGGCCATGGCCTGCAACCCAGGCATGTGCCCTGTCTGGGAATTGAACCTGCGATGCTTTGGTTCACAGCCCGTACTCAATCCACTGAGCTACACAAGCCAGGGCTCTTATTTATTTTTAAAAGCATTTATTAATGGGTAAGTTATGTTGATAAAGCCATGAATTCTCATTGTGATATAAACAAAATTTCAGGTTAGCATTTGCTTAAATAAGAGATTCTATTTTTTACCCTGTTTTTCTGTTTACTCAGAGTGGTAGTGCATCATAAACAAGGGTAACGAGGTATGTGTAACAGCTTTTTGTCACACATGAGTTATCACTTCAAGTCAAAGATCAATGTGAATTTGATGACAATACAGGGTGAACAAAAGTAGGTTTACAGTTGCTCATATATAAAATGATATAATAAATAATAAAAGAATAAACTGTTTTTTGCATCCTCACAACTGTGAACCTACTTTTGCCCCACTGCATTTAGTACATATGAAGTTCAGACGCATCTGTTGCTTTGTTAAGCCTATTATATTCACCATCTTATTTAGATCTCACAATGACCCTAGGAGATAGCTGTATTTACTCTCTCCATTTTCAGGTCAGAAAACTTATTCATACAGCCATAAAATAACATGTTGAGGGCCCTGAAACTAGTTCAAAACAGAGCCAAAATAGGACCCAAAGTGTCTCTTGGACTTACAGGGGGAAGGGAGTCTCAACCATTATATAACAAATATTATTTAGACAGACAATTAAGGACAAGGGCTGCAAACTCCTTGATTGGTAGCTTTTAATCATATTTTTAACAGCTTTGAATTTATCACAAAGTTTTTTTTTAACAAACTTTAGAAATTCTGTCAGGAAGCTTTTACAACATGAGGTTCAAACAGTTAGGCTATTCCTTTAGCTTACAGAAAGAAATGTTCTTTGTTAAGCTATAGGCAAGAAGAAACAAGAAAAGCAAGCTCTGAGCTGCTTCTAAAGTTCCAAGAGTTCCTGACAAACTTTTATGTTTCTCACCAGTGTTAACAGAAATGTTTTCAGAGGTGAGAGAACGGAAAATATCCTGAGGGAATACACTGAGACTTGTTAAACCTGGAATTAAATGGTTTAGAAGTCACTAAGGTTTATATGATATTATCTTCGTAGTGAAATTTAGGATTCTGTGTCTGAATGAAGAAGGAGAGAGAACAGTGGTCAGCCTCTCTCAATAGCAATAAAATTATTGAGATTTTTAAGTGAAGCAAGGTTGTTCATTTAGAATACATTGTAGCAACCTACAACCCGAACATGTGCATAGGCAGGGTGGCTGAGCCAGCTGTAGGTCAGATGACAACCTAACATTGATCTGGTTCACAGTAAGGACCTAACGATGTTATTTATTCAGACGTGGTTTACAACACTGCAATTACACATTCACACAATTTTACACAGTGGTCAGCAGGAAAACATGAATGGAGTATAGGCAACAATAAAAAGCAATAAGAATGGATCTCAGCAATTCATTATTACATGAAAAAAATCCTTAAAATTACAAACAGCATAATCCCCTTAGAATAATGTTAAAAACAACTAAAATACAATAGAAACTTTATATATAATATATGATAAACACGTAAAAAGAGAAAGCATGAGACTGATGAATATAGGATTCAGAAAAATGATTACCCAAGTTTGAAAAAAAATGAAAAATTCGTGGTAAGAAACAAGTTATATACCCAAACGTAGCTTTTGCTCTGAATGGTATATTTTCAGGTGTTTAATACATACTTAAAAACAACTAAGTAATGTAAGTTAGTAAATAAATAAACCAAAATGGTGCATGCATATGCCAATTAACAATAGTCAGTCATCAACCTGGAATCATGAAGTTCCAAGTTAATGAATAAAAGGACAAGTGAATAGTAAAAATAAAGCAGTGTAGCTGACAGGAAATATGAATTTTTTTCAAGTTGTTTTTTAATCACTAATAGAAAAAATACTGAACTGAGTATTCTTTTCCTCTCCTTTAAAACAGCATCTTGAATTTATGAAATTTTTGCTTCATATTTGATCTTATGAGCTCAAGGTATCTTCTCATTTTTTTCTTGCTGAATCATTTTTTAAAAATGTTAATTGTGATAAAATATACATAACAAAATTTGCCATCTTATCCATTTTAAGTGTATGGTTCGGTAGTAAGCGTATTCCCTTTGTGCCACAAATCTCCAGAATTCTTTCATTGTGCAAAACTGCAACTTTATACTTACTGATTCTTGAGTATTATAATGATTTTACAAAAGACAGCTTTGTGTCATTGGAAGGAAAATAAATTGTACACAGAATGCATCTCCATGATCTCACAATTGGTTTAATCTTTAGCTCATTTTCTTTGTTCTCTAGTCTGTATTAGTATTTCCTTGAGTCCTTTAGATATGTTAGTTCCTGTTCTTTGTTTATTTTATAAGATGGTCAGATTTAATCATATTTCCAAAATAAATTTAGGACAAGTACTTATAGATTTGCTTAAACCTGAATATATTATTGGCATTAATACTATAGACAAAAGAAAAGTATAAACTCTTTCATATTAAGTAAATGAGACTTAAAGAAGAGAAAGCTCATCAAAGGGTTTTATTATTTTTTCCCTTATTCCAGTGTACTGGATGATTAAGTTAAGGTAAATTATGAAATAAATAATGTTTTGAAAACTTATTTTGAATATATGTATGGGGGTTCAAAAAGGAAGGAGTTATTTAAATATTGACAAAATGTGGAGGCAATCTTCGTATCATTTTTGAAATCTAAGTGGGAGTTCCAAAGTTAGCACAGAGTAGTTCCTGATCGTTAATCATTTGCTCATTAGGCACATGATTATGAGGGGCCTTCTGTATGCCCAGAAAGGTGTGGCACTCAGGTGGTAAGATTAGAGAAAGGAAGGCAGCTCTGCAAATAGATAAAGGAAATTATTTCCATAGGAGATACAGGTAAAGAGAGAAGAGAGTAGGGGGAATGGAGTCACTGAGTTCAGGGAGCACCAGAGAAGGCCAAGTGATAAACAAAAGTCTCTATCAGCCTTGACTTCTAAGCCACTTTTTAAATTGCTTGCTCTTAACAGTTTCAACACTAATGTAATAGTTTAGTTTAATATTTTCTACTCTAATTTGTTCTTAAGAACATGACATTAAAACAGTGATTTTAAATTATTTTTCTCTTTGCAAAGGAATACAAATATCTAAAAGATGTTTTAGTATTTTTTTTACATTTTCAGTTATTGATTATAAGTCATGTGATTATAAATTGAATATGCCACCCTAGTTAATGAAGCAATGAAACTAAAATTATAAGTTTTAGAGACTTGGGATTTGAATAGTGGGTAAATATTATGTTAAGATGCACAGCAAGGGTTTTCAGGAAAATTATAAAGGACACATGCACAAAACCAAGGAGAAGGGTAGAAGCAGGGGAGAAAGGTGGGCATGGCTGGTGGGGGGTAGTGGAGGGGGGTAGACGCAGACAACTGTACTTGAACAACAAAATAGTTTTTAAAAAAGAATAAAGATACACAGCACTGGGAATTTGTTGGATTCCTGAAACCAGTTTTAATAAAATCTTCTATTTTTCTGTTTATAAAGCAGACTTCCAAGATGTTATCTTATTTTTCATCATTTACCTTCAATCCCATTGAGTTTAGCACCTGTTAAAAATATAAATTATCCCTGGGACATTATTATTATTGCACAGGAATTCTAAGACAGTAATACAAAGATAATTTTATTTCTTAAGGTAACATTCAAGCCTTAAAAATAAAGATTAGTAAGGATTATATATTGGATTATTTTGATACAATGTTGTCAAGAATCTAGAAATCACAAATAAAATTACCTTCATAACAACTACCTAGGAGATATCTGACTGTCTTCCAGACTCTAAACATTTACTTAAAAAGGAAAACCATTGTAGTTGTGCCAATATTTAAAATATATCATTCTAATTATGATTTCCGGTGGGATTTTATTTGACTTGCCACCTGGTCATTAGAATAAAGGATTTTTAAAAATATTCCTTTTGATACCTTGTTGGTAAAGAATTTAAAGACACAGCACTTTTCTTAATTCAGTCAAAAAACAGAAGGAAGCAAATAAACTACACTCCTATTTACATAGGATTTGAAGAAATATGTTCAAGTGACATTTTTTGTTTCAATAATATTTTGAAGTGATTATGTGACATGTATCTCTATCTCTACCTATATAAAGCATTCTACCATGTTTGTATTTTTCTAGTCAAATTGTGTGTGTGTGTGTGTGTGTGTGTGTGAGAGAGAGAGAGAGAGAGAGAGAGAGAGAGAGAGAGAGAGAGAGAGAGAGAGAGAGAGTGTCTGTGTAGGTGGTTATGGAGTGGGAAGGACAGTGATAGAGAAAGAAATAGAGAGAGGGACACTCACAGGTACATAGAGGAAGAGAGAGAAATGTTAACTCTACTTGGGTATAAAGCAACATATTTTATAGATGTTCTCAAGTTTCAACATAGTTAATATAAAACCCCAACAAGTACCTAATATCCTGGGGTTATTTCACTAGCCCAGTCAGTACACTTTGAGATTACCTCATTCTCAGACAGAAACCACACCCCACACTTAAAAATACAATGTTCACAATATCTATAAGAATCTCTCTTGAACA